GGGGAGCTAAACCTGGGCCAGCGGTACCCACATTAGACCCAGTGCCTCTGCTCTCAGCTGCTCTCAGCAGGGAGGGATTCTGGGCGGGGCCGGGGCGCTGTGGGGTGTGGGCTGCGGTCAGCCCTGAGTGGGCGAAGAGCTGGAACAGAGAGGAGCTTGAGAGCAGCATTTCTGCAGCATCTGCACCCCGGGGACCCTGCTCTAGACACCGTTCTCGGCCCTCATCCACAGGCCCACACTATAGGCGCCTTGTGCCTTTGTCACCCGAGGAAATGTGTGCGCCTGGGGCTGGTCTGGGCAGAGCAGCACACCTGGATTTTAACACAGCGACTAGGCCGAGTATGTCTGGCTACCCACGTGAGAGAGGCAGGGAGGTGAGGGTGGGGGGCGGCATAGTTGGAAGAGACACATCCAAAGAGGAGAGATTAATCATTTCTAGAGAAAGCTCCCTAGAGAGCAGCCTTGGACCCTTCCTGAACAAGGCTATGTCAATGACTTAGTGGTACAGAAATCTGGGAAGATCCAGGACACGTCAGTCGTCAGGGTTAGATCCCAGAATCATCCAGTGGCTGGAACACTGATGCAAAGGCACTGGGGCGCTTTCCTGGGAGTCAGGGGTGCCCATCTCACGGATAGGTGTGTCAGCGATGTGAGATGCAGGGGGTAGAGAGGACTCAGCCTCAGCCGGGCACCGATGGGGATGTGCCACCGAGAGCACCATGCTCAGGGGCTGGGAGGGGATGGGTGCGGGACAGAGCAGGTGACCCAGCCCTGTGGGTGGCTGCAGGGAGGGAGAGTTCCATTCCACACTGCAATGGACAAGAGTGGGCTTCTTCCTCCCTCCCCCACCCCCGCACTCCTGCTCTGCCTTCTTCAAGATGTCCCCATTCCAGGGGCAAGAAGGGCAGGCTGGCGGGAGGAGCAGGGGGTCCTGACTGAGGGGCTGGGTGAGCGGCAGAGGCCCAGAAGCCTCTCCGCGCCTGGCCTGCTGGCAAATGCCCCTTCACAGTGCATGTGGCGCTCGCTCAGGGGATGTTGTCTGCGGTGCGGTCGGGCAGACACCAGCTCTGTCCCGGCTGTCTGTCCCCAAACGTCCCCCCGCCCTCCATGTGGACACAGGAAAGGTCTGGATGGAGATCTTGGTTCACTTGGCTCAGCGGTCACCCTGAACAGGGACGGTGTTCGCCCAGCTGGGCGGATGGATGACGTGGCTAGGCTGCCCTGGGACCCTCGGAGCGCACAGGCTGCCTGAGGTTGGTACCCGGCGGGGACGGGGTGCTGAGCAGCGGCCTCCTGGGGTCCTTCCCTCCACCCCGGACAACTCGCCCACCCCTCACCAGGCAGGACAGACTCGATCCAGACAGGCCCGTGGCCGCGCAGCGTGAAGCCGAAGCTCTTGTTGCCCTTGTAGACTCGGACTGTCCTGGGGAGAGAGGCGGGGGGTGGGCAGCGTGCCCTGACCCGGGGAGGGCGGCTGGGGGAC